AAATAACTATTTTACCCCTGGGGGCTTATTTGTCATATTTCCGATCTTTTGCTTCCGTATCAGTTCTCATTGAGTTTCACGATTTCATGGAAGGTCATCAAAGTGTCTTAGAGGCGTGTTGTGCCTTGGGAGACAGTTGTTTTATTTTTTGCTTCCGCATCTAGATCCGTTATCGGGTAAATTTTCAATTCATCACAAGACATACTGGCTTGAAAAACCAAGCCGTCACAGGACTGGCAATGAGGTCGCAAACGCCTTGGCGAAGTTTTCGCATCTGTATGGATACTACTCTTGGTTTTATTCCTGCTGAAGTTTTCGCATCTGTATGGATACTACTCTTGGTTTTATTCCTGCTGATATTCATCATTTAGCAGCCAAGGCCAGTATTTAATGTTTGTCTTTGCTGGGTTCTGTTTGCAAGGGTGAAAAAAAAAAAAAAAAAAAGTTAGAATTATTTGCAAAATATCTTTTCTTTTGTGCTATGGACATGAATTTGAAAAATCACAATTAACAATAATATATAGTATTATTTTCAGATTACCTTCCAAAACCCATTAGCTCTGAAAGCCCATCCCGATAAACAGGTGGTGCTGATAACGTGATGTTCCGCCGGCGGCATAGGCCACGCGCTTTCGCCGTCGAGAACTGTGTTGTGGTGGCGACCAGTCGGTCACTGGCGGACCTGGAGCACGATTCTAGGTTTTTTCTAAAAGAATTGGACATGTTGTCCGATGGAAGTGTCCGAAACGTAATTGACAATGTGCTCGAAAAAACTAGGTCAAATCCATAATGTGGTCAACAATGCCGGTGTACTCTCCCGTTTGCCTTCTTGCTGAAATCCCTTTATCTGCAGTTGAGCATACGATTTCAATACAAATGTTTATGGTATACTTCTCAATCAACACAGTTTTAGTATTTGTTCATTCGATTTCAACATAATTTAACAGAGTCATGTTTATTATTTGTTCATTTGATTTCAACATAATTTAACACAGTTATGTTTAGTATTTGTTCATTTGATTTCAACGTAATTCAACACAGTTATGTTTAGTATTTGTTCATTTGATTTCCCTTTTTGTCTTGATGTCATATCACAAGTACTATTAGTTACTTTAATTATTATTGAAGCCAAGTCAAAATTATGTTGATTAGAAAACAAGAATGTTTAAACTAGTATGGAACTCAGAAGAAAGTTTTCAAGTCAGTAAAGCTAAGACTAGGACATTAATTGGGTGTACCAGAAAATGAGATTAGATTTAAGATGGGAAGATAAAATTATAGAGTATATTTAATCAGTAGTGTGGAGGGGGGTTTCTGAGTCGAAGCGGAACCAATTGGATGTGTTGGTGGACAGTGGAGTATGGACATTGATTATGGATAAATTGCATGATAACTAATGGGACTTGTACCTTGGGTTGGCTTTTAGCCATTAGTATTTCTTTGTATTTTGTTGTGGAGAAGCTGATGCATGTTGTGTTAACAATAGACCTGTTTAGCAAAACAAGTGGCGGATTGGATTTAAAATAGAGTTATGAAGGGATGATTCAGAATCTATTAAATCAAAGCTAAAAGGGTTTAAAAATTTTACAGGCTGAAGCATAATGGAAGAATGATACTAGCAACATATATGAATTCTTACTGAAGTCTTGTCAGACCTGCCCATATCTTAATTACTATTTGTCAATACTGCATTTTCAAATTACATTGTAGAACTACTAGCTTAAGAAGTATATCATTGATGTGGTTAAGACACCATTTGCTGAAGAAATGCTCCACTAGCTTGCAACAAATGCCTCAAATAAGGGTTTTCCAGGGGCACACTTACATTGGAAACTAAGCCGACGTGCTTAACGCAGGATGCCTCAAAATCCACAAAAATCACAGCTGAACTAGTTAGGCCTGAAACGCATAATAGTTTTGGAGAGAACACCTCTCTCCAGATAGTTGAGCCTCAAAAGCTCAGGCTCCAAGTTGGTTTTTCAGTTCTCTAGGTGCCTGTTAGATTAGATGAATATCCCACTGTGCATTACTGGGTTTAACAGATCATCTCTGACCTGGTATATTTTGTGAAAGACCCATGTTGTAGTACCACGATTGGGGTCCTTATGTAACACTTGCGGAAACCTTATTTTTCATCACAATTGACTGCAAATTTCTCAAAATTTTACCATACCATAATACTGTTGGAGATGCATCAAATTTTGGTTATTCCATGAAATTCTTCATTCTGCATAGAACTGATGTAAGATTTAGATCTCATGCTCTGATAAGAAACATACATAGCCTCCGACATGATGGATCCGGTGCATCAGGTACGTAGTGAATCAAAATAAATGGTTTTTGAGGCACTTACATTTTGTTCATAACTAAGCTTGCAAATTGATACTGCTGTGGATTTCTCTCTCTCTCTCTCTCTCTTTTTAATTTATTTTTTCTTTTTTATGTAAATTGCAATATGTTAATACCACTTGTAAATCTATTGCATCTTAACTAAGCTTTTTATGATAATTGCATAACATGCTAACTTCCTTGTATAGTAATTTTAAAAATGGAGATTTGATGATATATGTCATTTACATCGTTAACATGATGCAGCCACTTGGAAGCAGGCCTTATCTTACCACGTTCTGTAATCTCAAGATAATATTAACACATGATTATTCTTTTGTCTTCAACCAAATCCTATTATTTGGAGTTATGTTTTGATCAAATACACACCACTTTCATAATTACTTAGACAGACTGTGGGGTGTTTATCCCAATTGTCATGCATAATTTTCCCCTATTTCTTTGTCCACTTTGAGAAGGTTCTATTTGTTGCTGATTGCATAATAACAAATCCATTTCATATTTATAATGCTATTGTTTGTACATATGTAGGTTCCATGAAGTTGATTCAAGCTGTGGTTCTTTACATGATATCTAAGAAGAAGGGAAAGATTGTCAACATTGGAAGTGTTTCCGCTTTTTGAGCCCTGGACCATGGGCTGGTGCTTACACTGCATCTAAAGCTGCTCTGCACTCCCTACTGATACATTGAGGTTTGTGCTATCTTGCCCATGTTAGTATTAGATTGGTAATCCATTTCTTCTTCTTTTAAAAATTATTTTTAATTACCTCTCCCCTTATAAGTTTTGGTCAGCCTCTTTAGCCCTTACCTTCTAGGCAAACAACTCTTCCTCTCCTAACCTGAGGTCCTAAACCATCTCCATATGGTTAATCCAATTTTTATCTGCTTAAGATGCAGAAACCCACCATCCTTCCCACAGCTTCCCCTACCTCTCCCACCCCCAATAGAAGAGAGGAAAGAAGAATTAAAAATTTAATGTATAAGTAACACGGTCCAGGGTGCATAAGCTGTAATACTTCATCCAAAGTTGTGCCACATTGTTTCACAGATACCTTGGGTTTTGGACAACGTAGGCGCAGATATTTTTATACCCTCTGTTCTTATCCGTAGATTTTTTTTTATTTTTAAAAAGTGCCCCTTAGTAGAGTAAGGGTGATAGAAGAAACTTTCTTGGCTTCTAGGGTGCCATTGAGCTCTTCTTTGTCTCGACTTCATTGGATAATTGTGTTTCTCGGAATACATTTTGTGACGCTCTGCATGTTTAATTCAATTCAGTTACCCAGAGCGTTAATTAGTATATTCCTCTATTACGATGAGGTGAATGATCATTTGCTGAATTTTGTCCGAGTCCTGTAAATTTTATTCAATTTATAGTTAGTATATCAAATGTTAGTTGGAACCAACTAACAAATAAATTTGGGGACAGAGATGAGTCTGAATGATCAAATAGTTTTGTCCTAGGAAGTATGCAACAAATGCAGGCTTCTGTTAGTTTTATCGACAAATAGTAATACGAAATGAGTGGGGAACAGAATATCGATGGAGTCAACTTACTTGATAGTCAAAAATTATTATTATTATTGATTTAAAGTGTGCTTGACCGTCGGCCTACAACTTGAATTAGGACCAGCATGAACAATATGAATTGATGTAAAGCAGGCTATACTCTTATGTTACATTTGGGAGCACCATATCAATGCCGCCAAACATAGCATTATGTGGGATTTGACACGGTGTTTAAATTTATATAATAAGTTTCTTGATGTTAGATTTTCATTCCATATATCCATCACTGAATGCAGTTTGGAGCTCAGACCTTTTGGGATTGATGTTATTAATGTTGTACCTGGACTATTAAGTCAAACATAGCAAATTCTGCTATAGCACTGAATGGAAGTTAATTGGTATTATAGCACTGAATGCCTGAATGGAAGTTATACAAGAAATTTGCAGCAGCAATCCGAGATACTACCTACGCCTCACAAGGCTCAAATGCTACCCCTTCACAGAAGAGTTCGCGAAGAAGACTGTAGCTGCAGTGCTGAAGAAGAATCCACCGGCTTGGTTCACGTTGGCCCGTTACTCCACCATAATGGCGATCATGTACCATCTTCCACTATTTATCAGGAAGGCAATGAATTGTTAGAGTTTTACCATTTATTTATGACAGCTTCTCAACCATATATGTAACTTGATTCCATTTATCATGACAGTATTGAACAAAGAATTCATGTTTTCGTGCCACCAAGTACCTGGAAATTTTTAAAATTAATTCATAATCCATGCAGCTACAATTGTCACATTATTAATATATCAACAATTAAAGAATGACTTTCCGAAAAACAAAAAAACAATTAAAGTGAGCTAATTAACGTACACATTTGAATATACTAGATAACAACAACATATGCCCAACCCAAAGTATACCATGTACCAACACCAGAAAGTGACCAACTTTAGTATTCCATGTCTGGACCAACATAGTAGCACATTGGAGGCATAGGATCGTCCATAATCACATTCTCTACCATATCAAACATTCGATCATCAAATACAGGATCAGTAGCAGTATTGTATGTGGCATCAAATCCAATCCAATCTTCATCATTCATCATCATCATCAAATTTGGATCATCATTCATCATCATCATCAAATTTGGATCATAAAAAGTTGGAGTAGTGTTTGTGACATTGCCACCAGAAGAAGAAGAAGCCATTGAATTTGCAGGCATTGAGAGATCCAACGGAACGGGCACGCAAGATCACTGAAGAAAGAAATTGGGTTGTCAATAATATGATCCGATGACGGCATGAAATAACCGGAATAGTTTTCGTTTTGGTGATTAGACTTCAATTCTTGAAGTCTAGTTTTGAAGGCTTCAAGATTTTCCTCCAATTTAGTACCCAAGTTTCTCAATTGTTCCTTGGATAGATTGTTAAACCGATGATCCCAAATAGGGTACTTGATATTCTTGGTGGTCTCTTCATCATGAACGTCATTATTTTTCTTGTCCTCCACTTTTACAAGTACTGAAGAAGCACTAGTACTTTGATGATTATCAGTTTTCTCCTTCTTATTGTTGGGATTGTCTTCTTCCAAGAAGTGGGACAAATCAAGTGTCCACTTCTTCCGATTTACATGAGATTGTTGTTCGTATGATGTGAACATGTGCCGAATTGCATTAAGATCTTTAGGCCACATGTAGGGTTGCTGATCGTCAATCGGACTGTGATCCTTTGGTTTGGGACCGTAAACAACTATACAAACATCAACATCACATAACGTGGATAATTCAAAGGCCTTTTTTTCCAAACAATTTCTTCTCTTCCGAAAACTAATATATCGATCTTTTTGGTTTCTCATCAGTTCCTTCTTTATAAGTTCCTTTTTTGGTTTAGGAGCCATCTGAAAATTATACCATCTCAGTAAGATTAAATAAATCTTTAATGGCTAAACAAATATATATGAAACTCAATCATTAAATTCTGGGCCACAGACACCGCCGCGTACCTTTCAATATTGGCTTCTCTCTGCGCCTTTGCACCGCCTCTCTCACTCTCGGTCTGGAAGAAGCTCTTATGGATGATGTTCTACAGAGGTTAAGCCAATCTCTTTGTTTACAGAGGTTTGGTCGCCGCCACCAGCAGAGTCCTCGTACGCCGATATAGCAAAGCAAAGAAATGAGTGAATGCCGTCGATCCACACCACCGCCGTCTCTGCGTAAGAGGAAATCTTGAATTTCTCCTTGCGCTGATCTTTCTCTCACACCGCCTCTCTTTCTCTCTCGTTCTCTCTAAAAATATCTCTCTCTATTTGCAATAATGCAATGGGTGAAGAACTAATTTATAATGAGAGCGTTGGGTCTCAACTCTGCGATCTCTCTCTCTATTTTCAAGAATGCTTACTGGGTATGGAGTGATACATATATATATATACACACACACATAGAAACCTTTACTTGGGCACTAATTAATAGTAGATTAACTCTTTCTGCGATCTCTCTCTATTTTCTCTTCCGCGTTGCTCTGATCTCTCTCTCTACACCGCCCCTCTTTCTCTCTGTCTCTCTCCAAAAATATCTCAGAATGCAATAGGTGAAGAACTAATTTATAGCGAGAGGGGTTGGTCTCAACTCTGCGATCTCTCTCTCTCTCTCTCTCTCTATTTTCAAGAATGCTTACTGGGTATGGAGTGATATATATATATATAGAAACCTTTACTTGGGCACTAATTAATAGTATATTTCTTTACGGCATACCAATGAAAATAATACAAAATCTAAAAGATTGTTTTTGAGATACTCCTATTTTAGGACAGTTAGTCCCAATTACTAAATTTACTTTATTAACTTCCTTATTTGCTTTAGTTTACACATGGAATTAATTTACTTAAAATTTTAGAACTAAAATTTCAAACACAAGACTAAACTCAACCTCCAATTCCTATTTATTTATATATATATATATATATTTTTTGGGGAGTAAGTAATATAATTTTAATATTTTTTTTTGGGATAATTAATATATTTTTAAATAAAGAATAAAAAATCTAAAAGATATAACTCGTGTAAAGGAACTTTGAAAGTGCATTGTTAACAAAAAAAAAATAGCTGAAGAATTAAGCTCGACATCAAAAAGGTCAAATAATATGTCCTGATTCGTTTTAATTATATATTGTCAATAATTAATTTTAAGTTTCTTATTTATCCATATGACTAATAAGTATTTATTCATAATTATATCCACACATATGTATCTATCCTTCTTCTTTTTTTTTCTTTTTCTTTTTCTTTTTTTATCCCGACCAATTAGGGAAAGAGAGGACTCGGACATGTATCCTTCTTCTTTCTTTTTTTTTTTTTTTTCGACAAATTAAGAGAAAAGATGACTCGAAAATGATGACACTCGGCTAATTTAATGCCTGGTTTACATCTTATTCAATGATAAGAGAATTGAGGATTTTTTTATTTTATTTAATTATTATTCTAAAATTAACAATGGTATCGATGTGGGTTTAATATGTACAGACCCGCAACCCTAAGGTTGGTATTTAAGCCCAACTAAAAAAAGATGCAAACTAAGAATCGAAGCCCAATGCATTTAAAACCCTATAACTGGCTAATAATAACAACAAAAATAAAATATAAAATAAAAAAACACCAAAATAGATGTAAATGCTTAATTGCTTATCAACCCTTCCCTAATTGCCCAACTTACCGACAAATATGTACTGAAGGTGAAAAAATAAAAATATTTCTCCAAAATAGAGAAAGCAGTTCAGATGGACATCACACTTCTATGAGAAGATTCGACAAAGACACGACAAAGTCTTCAAATAAAAATAAATAAAAAGGAAATGCCTTTATCTAGTTAAATTTGCAATACAAAATTGTTCTGCCTCTAAATCATCATTTTACAAGTATAATAATAAGGAGGTAAAAAAGAAGAATGAAGACCATAAAAATGAACAGAAGATTGCCCAACCCTAATTCTAACACAGCCTGGTAATGGGAAAGGCCACTGCTCTTCATCTGCAGTATCTGTTGCTATCTAAATGCATATAACTTTATAATTATTGTTGGACCCTGAGTAACATAAAACGGAAGCGGGAGCAAATTCGAGAGCAGGTGCGTGAGAGCGGTATAATTAAGTTATAAATAGTGAGAATTTGAGCCAGAATGAGCGTAGAGTGTGAGAGCGTGAGCATGTTCGGAATGCTAGAGCAATACCCTTTGAGAAGAATTTTGTGACTTAGGTCGGACCTCTCTTTATATCTATCCATCAAAAACAATCCCAATTTGAGATTACAAATTTTTTTTTTTCAGTTAATTAATAAATTTTTAAATAAAGAATAAAATCATGTACAAGGAGATTTCATTTTCCCTCAATCTAAAGGAGGAATTATTTTAGTTTTAAATTTCTTATTTATCCATATAACTAATAGGTATTTATTAATACTTATATATATATACTCAAATTTATTTATATAAGAGAATTAAGGATTTTTTTATTTTATTATTTTTCTGAAATTAACAATTGTATAGATGGGGGCTTAATGCGTACAGAGTAGGGAAGGGACCCAAGATGGAACCGCAACCCAGATTGGCATTTAAACCCAACTAAATTAGATACAAACTAAGAATCGAAGAACAATGTACTCAAGCCCTGTAAAGACTAATAAATAAACAAATAAAAAAACAACAAATTAACATGTTGCCATGTTTGGGAATTTGAGTAACTAAATCCAAACACCAATTTGATATTCCCAAACACATCGTAACAATATTTTGTAATAAACTTGTTATGACTTATTTTGGGTCAACCAAAATGTCATGTGGAGTTTTCTTTTGAGCCTACTGAACTTTGTTTATTTCAACTTAAGTCGTAACTCATTGTAATTATTACAAAATATATATATATATATATATATATATATATATATAATTTACTTAACCTTCCACAAAATAAGAATAAAATTAAAATTAAAATTAAAATAAACTTTGATTTTATGAGGTATTGGATTCAAATCTCAATCTTACAATTTGTTTGTCCAGATTTTGTGTATGGGGATAAGTTCCTTAGTTTCCCATACTTACTCAAGTTTTTATCGATTACATACTTCTTCAATTTTTTTGGTTTTCCACCAAGCAATGATCGCTGCAGCCTATGGAGGTAGTATTTGACATAAATATATATATATATATTTCTTGCAATTGACACAATGACAAATGCCATTGAATGCCTTTTTTTGTTTTTTTTTTTTTTTTGAAACAAGTTTAACACAAGATCTTAATTATAGAATGATACTGCACAAGGATTTTTTTTAAAAAAAATCGGGGTTATTGAAGTCGTTGAGTTGGGTGTAAATGCAGGGGACTCAAAAACAATAGAGATGAAGTTTAGGTCCTTGAATTCATTTACAGGTAGAATGTATTGCACTCATTTAGATGTTCATTGTTAATGGGGTTGTAAATTTTCAATGTGATGGATGAATTTTCAATTTTTAGTTCATGTTTTTGGGTTGGGAGACGAAAGTCCTTAAAAGAAGAAGGTATATTTAGGAAAAAGAAAGGATAAATTTCGTTGATTTCGATCCCTTGAGGTTTGAACAAATAATGAATGAATAAATCATTCAACTTTTATTAATATGACTTTCCATGATTTCGTTCGCCGGCCTTTGAGTGAAAAAGTAGGTAATGCCTTTATATTATAACAATATGCTACATTATACGAGAAAATTATCATTTTATATAATTTGCTCAACAAATTAAGGCTAACAATTCCTGTCTTAAATAGTAATACTTTTTAAGCCTGCTTTGCTTGCATTAAATAAGGACACTTTGTAATCCTGGTCCTAAACCATTGACTGTCTTAAAAAGTTATTTTTAAAGTATTAAAAAATAAATAATAATTCGTTTTTCCGTTATTAACTAGTGTTAATTAGAAACCGCCTTTAAAATCTCAGCATATAAAACAGAGAATCCACGAAGAAATTCCAAGAAGTTACCAGAGAAATATAAAATTCATAAATGCAAATACATATAATTGTCTAATATGAAAATTTAAAGGTATACTGACAAACATTATAGCATAGGATCGATCAATATAGTCTATATCTCCAACATCAGAAACTAAATTCATGTCATATATATATATATATATATATATATATATATATATACCTTAATTAAAATAAATTTCTTGTTACTCATCCGAAAACCACCTACTTGACAACACTCATTGTCGATGTGATCAGAAGCTAGCATGCATATAAGATGGAAAACTTGAGAACACCGTCGGACCACCATAGTAGCACACCGGAGGAGGCATTGGAAGGTCATCCATGATCGCATTCTCCACTGTACCAAACATGGTATCATCATAAATAAGACCAGTATTGTATGTGATGACATTGCTGCCGAAATCACCCCCAAGTCCAATGTTGTAATCTTCATCATTCATCTTCATCAAATTTGACGTTGATGGTAACATGGGTTGCATGGTTGGAGTGTAGTAGCACATCTGAGCCCTAGAATTGTCTGTAACCACATCATTATTCTCCACTATCCCAAACCTCGCCGGAAAAATTGGACCTCTGTTTGTAGGAGAAGCAATACTGTGTGTGATCATATTATTACTATGACAAGAAGTAGCACCAAGTTCAATGCGGTGTTTGTCGTCCATGTTCACCGTCATCATCGAATTTGGCATTGAGAGATCCAACGGTGGGTGCACGTCGACATCACTGAAGAAAGAAATTGGTTGCTGCTCATGATGAATAATAGGGTCCAATGGCAAGAAGTAATTAGAATAATTTTCTTGTGTTCCTTGTGTAGCAAGAAAGCTATTTTCCGTGTTTTGGTAATTAGACTTCAAGGATTGATGTCTAGTTTTAACGGCTTCAAGCTTTTTCTCCAATTTGATACAAAATTCTCTCAATTGTTCTCCTGACAGATTGTTGAAGTACTGATCATCCCAAGTAGGGTGCTTGATATTTTTGATGGTTTCCTCATCATTGCTTTTCTTGTCCTCTACTTCTACAAGTACCGAAGAATTATTAGTACCTTGATGATCAGTTTCATTAGTCTCCTTTGGGTTGTCTTCTTTCAAGAAGTGAGACAAATCAAGGGTCCACTTCTTACGATTTTTAACAGGTTGTTGCTCGTACGATGTGAACATGCACCAAATTGCATCAAGATCTTTAGGCCACATATAGGGTTGTTGATCATCATAATGATCAATTGGACGGTGGTCCTTCAGTTTGGGACCGTAAACAATGACGCAAACATCAACACCACATAGAGTGGATAATTCAAAAGCCTTCTTTTCCAAACACTTTCTTCTCTTCTGAAAAATAAGATATCGAGTTTTTTCGTTTCTTATTAGTTCCTTCTTTAGTTTCGGAGCCTTCTTTAGTTTCGGAGCCATCTGAAAATTATACAATGACTGTTAGACTTTGATGGTCGACTTTATTTTTCCGAAACTCTCATGACTTCGATGGTGAATATGAGTACTGTAAAAATACCTATATATATGTATGTATAGTTATGAAATTTAATCAATTACCTTAGCTTCAATATTGGCTTCTCAATACGCGAGCGATGATCAACACCAACACGCCGCCCCTCTTTCTCTCTCTAAAAAGATGTAGTATCTCTGTCTAAATCACCCTGCTCTCACTTTATATTTGAAGAATGCAATGGGTGGGGAAGAAGTATTTTATAGTGAGGGGTTGGGTCTCCATTGTAGGAAAATCCTAATGCATCTTGGAGTGAGCATAGAAATTGAGATTAGAAACCCTGTAGTGTGGAGTAGAGTAAATATTTGCTTGCGTACTGATTTATTAAAAAATACAGTATATGCTTATATTTTTTTTTGACTTTTTTATGGAAACTATACAAAATACTGTGAGATGCTAAAAGATTGTGTTAGATACACTATTTTAGTAGTATTTTTTAAGAAAATTAGGACACACACAGTGTGTTGGTGTGTTGGTTACTTCGTCCCAAATACTCCTTGAAGGAATTGTGTTAGATAAACTATATATATAAAATATATATATATTATTAAAAAAAAAAAAAGGGGAAAAGGAAAATCTTCTTCCTTTGGCACACTATTACGACTTCTCTGTTTTGTTAATTTTTGTGTTTCACTGGTAACTCCATATTGACGTAGGACTTGTAACAAAATTTTGTTACCAAATATTATATTGGTTGTGTCCTTAATAAAGAAGTTTAACCAAAAGGGAAACTCAAAATACCTTATTTATTGCAACAAAATAAAAGGAAATCAAGTTCTATTGGAACGCTATATATATATACACAATATGTGTTGGGTAAAACGAAGAAGAGAGATACATTAGAGAGAGACTGGAGAGAGCGTGTGTGAGGCGACGAAGGCAAAAAAAACTATACTCAAAGAAGCACAAAAGGTAGAAGTTTGCTTCACTCTTTTATATATATATATAAACTCGTGTGTGTTTCAAATACTTACAATTTCAAACCCATGTTACATATAATGCTTTAGATTAAAGAATGTCCATGCCATCTACGCCCACAAAATTGACATGGAAGGACAAGCAAACCAAGAGCAATGGCTGCAATAGCATGACGGAGAAAACCAGCCCAGAGTGTGTCCCAGAGCAGGCAACAGCGGCAAAGAGCGAGCCGGAGAAAACCAACCCAGGGTGTGTGCCAGAGCAGGCAACAGAGGCAAAGAGCGAGCAGGGGAAAACCAGCCCAGAGTGTGTGCCAGAGCAGGCACCAGCGGCGCAGAGTGAGCCGGAAAAGAGCTGCGAACCGACTTGGTCACTGTTCATGGACGGCATACTGCCTGTCCATCCCTCTCTATTATCTCCTAATCCTCATGGTAGCAGTTTTAATGGAAAATTGTCAGTGAATGAAGAGAAGATGACTGAGCTAGTGAAGACTGTTGATGCAAAGATAAATTCTGCTCTCTATGGACCAAAGAAAACACGAAGGTTATCAGTTTTTGAAGAGATATGTAAAGAATAGATATGGCATACCATGCTTAATATTTGTTTGTAACAGTTACAGAGACTCATAAATAGTCCTTTTGCTATTATAATCTAATTTGTTTGTTATTGAACTCCAAAAGTGGTTTGTTTCATTCTCGGGAATAGCCTAATGGCAAGGTTTCTCACCTCACATCTTGAAGGTCCCCTCCCCCATAGACCGACCCAAAAGAATTGACTGGAATTGTAGTATTTTGAAGAATCAATCATTATACATTTAAACACATAGTAAACATCTCATTGAGTAAAAGAATGAATGAACTAGTTTGTGTTCCGTTTTATGGTAGGTGCAAGGACCAGCTTACAAGTAAAAACAAACGACCAATAAACTGCACACCTTGGAAGATTATACTCCTTTTGGAAATAATAAGGGATTGTGATCATCAAACGTTGATATCTGAGCGCTTTGATCTGGCACTGCTGATTTCTGGGACACCAGTCAAAGCAAATCTTGGGAGGTTATAGTTTTCAGGCGTCGACATTGGCTGCTGAGGATAAAGCGTGGGAGGTGGTGTGAGATTGCGTTGAGCTGGAAGTGGAGGGAGTACATTGTACTTGTACGGATCGCCACCTAAACTGCAATAGGTAGAAAATCATTTAACAAGAATAGTTGGAAGCAGGTATCAAGATGAATATTTAAAATTAAACGATGATCATGATACATCAGAATGTAGTGATATGTTGCTGACTACAGCACAAGATCAGACAATCTCATTACACTGACACTTTACAAGAATCCTCTCTCTGTGTCTGGTGGCTATCCTCCATAATTGATAACTAGTCGCAACTAAAAACAGAGCAGGAAAAACAGAGCAGGAAAGCCATCTAACAATTCAAATGAACTATTTGTTTGTTTTATCCCCGTCACTACACTGAGATAACAGTTTTTAACACAATGACCTTGTAACACAACAATATGTGGATGTATTTCATTGTCCAACATGGCAAGAAAAGTTAAGACAGTAGGACATCTCTCTCTCTCCGGTGGCTATCCTCCATAATAGCTAACTAGTCACGACTTAAAACAGAGCAGGAAAGCCATCTAACAATTCAAATGAACTATTTGTTTGTTTTATCCCCGTCACTAAGACACTAAGATAACAGTTTTTAACACAATGACCTTGTAACACAACAATATGTGGATGTATTTCATCGTCCAACATGGCAAAAAAAGTTAAGACAGTAGGGCCTCCATTACATAGGTTGCTTCAATAATAGCAAAATATACCCGTTGTGTTTTATTTTAATTATTCATTTGCAAGGAAGTCAGACAAACTTTTCCTTGAATTAAGAACCGAAAGTAAGAAACCCATCATAAAAAATAAAAATAAAAATAAAACTGACACCCTTCTCCTTCAAGTCGATGCAAATCTCACCTTTATTTTTTGAATTTTAACAATAATTTCTTGATTGGAAATTCAATTGACATTCAACTTGAATTGCAAAAGCAGAAGAGGAAAAGAATCAAAATCGCAGTTGCAGTTGAAGTTGAAGTTGAAGTTTATTAAGAGGAATCAGCAATTATTATTATTTCCTATGTCCATCATAACTATGCAGTTTCTGAAAATACCTATTAAGATATGGGACAATTTAACGGCCCAAGGGGGGAAAAAAAAAAAAAAATTTACGACAAATTGTCGTGTATTGGCATATTCCATAAAAAAAAAATTTGGTTGTAGAAATTAGGGATCTCAGGTTTGAGCCATCATAATGGACTGGCTGAAGATCAAAGACTGAATATAGATCACGTCAACAAATTTCTTCCATCAACTTTAATTACAAACACTAAATAATGATAGGTTTTACTTGGAGGACATAAAGGCTAGGTTAGTTATTGGATAGCTTACTGGATTCACACAGGACTTAATTCACCTCAATAAGAATTTAGATATATTTTTAATTGGAAAAATCATGTTTTTATCTATTTTGGATTTCTTGGTTTGATCTATCTAAAGTTTGGGATTAATTTATCCAAAAAAGAGTGCCAAAACAATCAAGCATATAAGCAAACCAATTGAACAAATTGCAGAAAGCTCCTGATCAATCATACAGATTCAAGACCACCCAATGATCCAAAACATCTAGATCAATTGACGTAAGGTACCAAACAAATAGAGCTTATAACATATTCTGAAAAAAAATTATGACCATCCTGTTTCTAAGTGGTTCCCATTACTGATGTAACTTCTTCAAGCTTTTCCAAAGCCTATATAAATACATGATGGTCTTATTCTACACATGCACGATTGTGAGAACTTTCCAAATATATATTAGATTGGCATTGAGTAAAAAATATGTTGTGTATATCAAGTTGTTCTTGGAGTACTGCATGGTTTGGTTGATGAACACCTAGCCACGAATGTTATTATCCTATCTTCAAGATTGAAGAATTTTCTTGCTATCTGAAAAGAATTAGTAGAAGAGACAAGTGTGATGCACTTACCACCACTCTGAAAAAGGTGAATTGTTGAGGATGATCTATAGAGAGACAGTTGTTGGGATTTTGACAAAGTGGGAACAAAAAATAAATTTGCATATTAGACATAAATCAAGAGGGCGAACCTTGGACCATCCCCAGATGCCGCAATTGCGGGTGTTCATGGTTATTATCATTTCGGTTTTTCGTATAGAAAGATTGCCTCTTAATTGCTTTTTGATTCACTGTTTACTAGATTGACTGTTAATTAATAAACCAAAAAGAGAATTGGGAACAAAATTGTGATTAAACAGGAGACCTATTCACCAACCTCAGATCTATGATATATTATGTACTTCTATAGTATATTTGGGACCTTTCCAAATTGGTGTCAAAGCTTTTGCAAGGATACTCCAACTTAGTATCACAGTACTACAGTCAGCAGGTTCACTCAAGTCTGAATGAGATACTTCAACAAATTTATTGAAAATTTTGTTTTTCAAGATTTCAACCCAATGTCACTACAATTGAGAAGAGCAAAGACATAGACACAATGAAAATAGACTTGTTGGCTCACTTCAGACCTTTGAATTAATCTTCCAAAGTTGGAACTTTTTTGATTGATGATAATTTAATGATTTATGTCTTGGTGAAGTGGAACTAGCTTTATTGTGTAGAATATTTGGAAAATTCCTTAAGCGGAAGAAGTATAACAATACTTTCAGAAATGAGTATAAAGAAAGATCTAAGGCTAGTAAATCCAGAAGAAAAGATGGAAATGACAGATCCAAAGGCCAAAATGATGTTGACTGTTGAAACTGCCATGAAAAAGGTAAGGGTTAAGTGCATTAAAACCCCCCTCAACTATGAGCCAATTGCAAGAAACCCCCCTGAATTAAAAAATACCCCCTCAACTATAAAAGTGTCAAACAACTGTTAACCAAAAAATAAAATTACTGTTTTGCCCATTAATTAAGTGATGCTGTATCAATAGATAGCCAACTTCAATTGCTGATGTGGCCATTGTAATCTCCCTATCCAATGAAAATTTGACAAGTCATCCTATCATCAATAATTTGAAAATTTGTTGGATATTTGGAGGGGCCAATGGGTGGGGGCTCAGGCGAGAGTCTTCTGGAGGGTAACCCCTTTTTGCATTTGGTGGAGCATTTGGAAAGAGCGGAATTGTAGATCTTTTGATGGGAAGGAGTCCTCTATTGGGATGCTGAAATTTTCTATTATTTGTACCCTTTTTTGTTGGGATCAGGGTAGAGATTACTCCTCTCTTGAGGAGATTGTTGACTTCATGGGCTCTTTGAGTTCATAGATTTCGTTTTGTCTTTGTATAGTTTGGGACGCGTTCCCCTTTTGAACGCTCTTTAATACATTTTACTTATCAAAAAAAAAAATTTACTTATGCGGACAAACACACCTCTCTCTCCTCTAGCAAATCCTAATGCCGCCCCCCACCCTCTCCATCTGTATCTTCACCATCATCCCTCCCCCCACCACCCCTTTTCTTCTTTCTCATTCTCTCTCTGTCACACCTCAAAGCTAAATCGCCAATCTATTGTTCTACAAATTCAATCAAAATACACCACAATTGAAACTCCGGTCGGTCTTATGGTTTTTCGCTAAAATCATAAACAAAAGTTGCTGCTCAACAAACCAGTGCAGAGGTGGATGACTTATTCGGCCACGGCAGTGGAGACGAGGACTAGGGCCTTGAAGCACTTGAAAAAAAAGGAATTGTTGAATTGGTTCTCAAGCTTTACTGCATCAATGTGTAGATTCATTATAGGTTTTCTATGTAATTATATTTACTCATAGACACTAATTAAAATATGAAGATTTAGAGGGTGGAGATTGGTGATGCTGGTGATTAGAGAGAGAAAATATGGAGATTGATTAAGGCAGGAGATCAGAGAGAGAGAGAGAGAGAGAGGGAAGAAGTGAAAAACGATTTTAGGCTCGGTACTTTCATTTTTTAACAGGATTAACCCATTACGTGTTGTCGCCGATCACCAAACCAACCCAATCCCAACTGCCCAAAAAATTAGTGTTATTCTTTCAATCAATTCCCCTCCAAACATCGACCTTTGCAACAAAACAATTTTTTGTTCAAGGATTTTCCACCTTTTCGTCGTTCTAATTGTCGCCGGGGTTGAAGGTTAAAGAGAAAAAATAAAAAAAGAGAGGGAGGTGGTTTGGACAGAGACAGGGGGTGGTGGCGGTTGTTGACAGTGGAAGTGGTTGTGAGGGAAGAAGAATCTTTGTGAGGGAGAGCGGTGGCAGCGGCAGCCATGGACGGACAGTGGAGGTGTTGTCCATGGCTGAACAGGTGGTTCGAAAGGGGGCAGAGAGAGATTTGGAACACGCGCGTGTATATATATATATTCGTATATATAATATTCATTTAATGACCATAAGGTTATTTTTGTCTTTCTGAATTTTTGCCTGGTCATGTGTTTCTTTTCCGTTAGATTTCAAATGGAACTAACATTTTGCAACAAACTGAATAGTTCAGGGGGTTAAGTGTCTTTCTGATAGTTCCGCCCCGCGCGGGGGGGGGGGGGGGGGGTTGAGAAAGAGAAAAATGTTCAGGGGGAGTTTAATGCACCTAACCCAAAAGGTAATGATTGTCCAAACTCAAAAAGAAATCCGATAGAAAATCAAAAGCCAGAAATGTACTTTTGAGTAATGAACTTGAATCCGATCACGTTGACAGCACTTCTTTTAATGCTACTGCTGCTCACTCTTTTGGTTTTATAGGGGAAATAATGGTCATTTGAAAATTTCAACGTTAACTTCCCTTCAAGAAATGAAGAATTTTCTAAAAGAAACTGAATATCGTGTTTCAGAAGAAAAAATAAATGCTCCGAAAAACAAAATCTCAAAACTGGATCAATTTGAAATAAAAAGCCAAGTTGAAAAGTAAAAGGAAAAGAAAAGGAAAAACTTAAAGTCAAAACAAATCAAATATTTCTAATTGAAAATACAAGGTAATTTGAGTCAGGAAAGATGAGTTCAAGATCTCTGTAAGTGTGCCCTTAGATTCCTTGAGAAATCTATAGCAATCAGCCTTCCTATTAAGGATACAAATGAACCGAGCCGAGCCAAGGTTTGGATTGTTTAGGCTCAGCTCACCAAAGTTGGAGGGGGGCTCGAGCTTGGCTCGTGTTGGACTTCAGACGAGCTTCTCGAGCTCAGCTGGCCACTGTTCAGCCAAGCTCGGGTTGGTTTTGCTCGAGCTCATTTTCCTTTGACATTTTGCGTGCAGGGAAACAGGGAGGACTCACAAAGATGGTTGGCCTCAAAAGATAGTGTATTTATGGTTGAATTACCATCAGACCCTGTATGGCAAATGAATGAGTATTCTTTCCCTCCGAGTATTTAAGATCCCAAGGTTACTCTAAAATAACTATCTTTGCATGCATGACCTTGTGTAATAAAATTATTGCAATTGATCATTTAATCAAGTGAGTAAAAAACATTGCCAACTGGTGTTATAAATGAGAGAGAAGTGGAAGCAAATGTTGTTGTGCCAGGGATCCATGGAATCTGAATTTTTTTTCTAGCTTTGGTGCAATGGGTTCTTCAATGACTGTGTTTCAGGAGTTGGGCCTAAAGGAAAGGGGAAACCAGTCTCAGCTGGGAGACTATAGGCATCTTCGTTCTCCAACATAAAGACCATCATCGCTGCCATCATCATCATAGTACTAGCTTGCTTTAAGCTTGGGAGACTTTTGCTCTTGGTTTGGGCAGTGAGTCCAATTGATATAGTGAATCATACATAGAAGATGGCCCCTGTAGGGTTTGATGTATTTGGAGGGAAACAGGAGATATACAAGCTTGATATTTTAAGCCTGACAGACCATAATTTGGATATTTACCACACGCCATAACTGTAATATTATTTAATCTAGTTTCTGAGGCAGCACAAAGATTTAGACACAAAATATATGATTAAGTTTTCAGTAAGCCATACCTTGTAGTTGTACGCTTGTACAACTGATCTTCATCACTCAAATTTTCATTTGACCGCTGCTGCAGTGATCTCTGAGACGTAGAAGACCACGGGTTTGGTGCAGATAAGTCATCTGAAAAATATCTCCTCCTGATCAACTGAGAATAGGGCATCCTACAAAAAATTAGATGGTCGATCCAAGCAAACTTAAATTTACCGGAGAGAGGAAAGTTCAAGAATACCAACCATACGGAAAAACTTCACTAAAGCTTCCTTGTCATATCTAGCTTCTTTTGCAGCCTGCAAATGTTCAACAAATGAAATTTTACATGGTTACCAACCGTTTGAACCAAAAATAAATACGTTCATTAACAATTACTAAAGAAAGCATCTACAATATATTTCTAATAAGTGGCAAAAATAAAAGATTACCAGATACCATAAACTGCTCTACACAAGTCCCCAGTCCATTAATGCACTCTGGTGCATACTCATGAACTAGCTAAATGAGGCCTAGATTCAATTTAGCTGATACCAAAATATTTGCTTAGATATTAGCAGCATATTTCCTAATTAATGCTTGGATCACTCAATGAGAATGACAAGGGTGCATTCGGATATCCCATGGATCAGAATCACTCAATTCTGTTTGCCATGAAAATTAAATGCACAAGCCTGTCCTTTAATTCAACAGAAGATGGGATAAGAAACTCGAATGCAGTCGTTGAAAGAAATTCCTAATATGATTTTGTACATGCGAAATCATACATCTCCTAAGAATCCATATAAATTGGACTCATTTGCAATACAATGCAATACACAGCTATATGATAACTTCCATCATCTGTGCAAATGTCCCAAAGATATGACAAGTCACTGCACATGATGAGCATGTCAAAAAGTTTATGCTTTCTCTAATTCATTGCGAAATGGTATGTAAATTTCGTTCAAGTTCAGCAAAAGAACATAATTGGAAAACGAAGACAAAAAACACGTATGAGAGCTATTTAAAAAAACCAGACACTATAACAAATTATAATGTTAGGAATATGAGTCGTGTTGCCAAACTGTAACGAGACCTTAGTTGATCTAGTTACCTCTATTACAAGAAGATGATTACTTCCAATATCCTCATCCAAGATTTTACCAATCAAACATCAAGTCAAGACGAGCTTGAAGGATAGCAAAAATGTATACTTTTATAACTTGCCACTTAATTTTAACATTCAACGAGATTCAACTTTGCAAGACATTCTCATGCTATAATAGAAGATAGATGAGTTCCGACAAGAATATGAGGTGTCTGGCACAGTGTAATCCAAAAACAAATGCAGTACAACTTGGAATATGAACATCGAAAATATTGCCCAACCCAGATTCAACATGTCCAGAACACACAAGAATGATAATGACAATGACAACGATGACAAAAGGCAATAATAGGAGCACCCCACTACAAAGTTCTCCAGAAATACCACTCAACACCTTCTCTTAAAGCTTAATCAACTGTTTCTTTTAATTTCGTTTATAAATTTGTAGATTATAGTATATAATAAGATACTGCCCATCGACAAACTATCAAAAAACACAGTACGCCAAAAATGTGGTCATACATCCCAAAAGAATATATGATTCCGTAGTCTTTATATTTATAGACTGCAATATGCCAGAAAAAATGGTCAACTAATGTAAAAGCAATGCATAAAGAATCTGTAAGTCATTCATTATTTGAAATTCTCCCAAGCCTTCTGCTAAACAGTGTAGAAGTGTAGAGTGTCATTTTTTAAAAATAAACTAAATGAAATGCACTGTTTCCCTCATCCAAAGAACCATATGTTTCCACAACTACACCAACAACATATAATATAGCAAACCAGTAATTCTTATACCAAGAACCGCTGATGCTATTATATGCTTAAATTTGAAATTCTTACTGCTAGAAGGCCTCCACTGCCAGGAAAACTCTCAGTCAATGGGAGTTCCTCACTTGATGGAAGCAAACCCTGCTTCTCAACCCACTGTCGTGCTACATCAACAAGATTGCCACTGCTTCCTCTTGTGCCCTCTTTTGCTGCAATATCTGCCTTGTTACCAATCACAATGTAGGGGACAGGAAGGCCACCAGGACCTCCAGACCCTAGAGGGGCCGAAAACGATCCAGTTGCTGCTATCTCTGCTGCCCACTTTTGCAAGCCTGTCTTTGTCCTTCTCTGAGATAGATCATGAACAAAAATAACACCTGCGCATAAATTCCATACCAGGTAAAAGTAATTGCAAAGTTAGTCTTGCAGTCCATCAAGCAGAAAGATAAAAACTGACCGACTGGATACAGGTACAGAGCATGAATTCCAGACCAGGTAAAAGTAATTGCAAAGTTAGTCTTACAGTTCATCAAGTAGAAAGATAAAACTGACCAACTTGATACGGGTACAGAAGTTTCAGTATATTGATTTAGAAAAAAGTGTAAATTGGAAAAGAAAAAGAAAAAAGAAGAAGAAGAAGATAGAATGAAACAAATGCCCTCAAGTAAAATCTAGGTCACAAACTAATTAATAAAAGCTTTATATATTGACTATTGAGATAGTTTGTGCAATGGAAATTTCTTCTACCTGAGCCTTATCTCTTCTAAGCTTACATATAGAGTTAGTTGTCAAGGAAAAACAAATTTCAAGAACCAAGGGAGTTAAGTATTCACCGTTAATTTGTGAATAGAAAAGAGACCGGCAATCTTTGTAACGCTCATGTCCAGACACATCCCAAAGTTCAATAAAGAAATCCCTCTCACTGTCACCTTTAATGCTATTTGAAGAGCTGCCAGAATTTCCATAAGTAATGTGCTGCACATGGGAAACATGGAGCATTTAGGGAAGATAAAATTTCCAGTCATACCTCTGTATTGCCTAATGAAAAAAAAAAAAAAAGGAATAGTGAGTCTTACCTTCACAGCAACCGTACATCCAACCGTTTGAGGAGGACGAGCAATGGAAGAACCTTTGGCAATCAAATGAACAATAGAAGTTTTCCCCACACCTACCAGAGGATAAAAATTGAATATGAAGTTTGATAAAAACACGTTGAAGTTAATATATGTATAAAACTGACAGAAGAAATTAAGTCCAGTAAAGCATGATCAACATCCAAAAGCACAGGACCAGTTGAAGCAAATTAGCCATATTCAATTTCGATTCACTAACTAGAGTTTCAGGTAGCCACATTTAGCAACGTAAAAAGTATCCAGAAAATTTCTTAACCATGCCATTCACATTTTTTCTTTTGGGATAACCAGGAAAGGTAATTTAGCAAAAAGCCCCTATTGCGGGTCGGCAAACGGACGGCGGGCGTATGCATCATTTCTAGCCTGGATTCTGACTTAGAGGCGTTCAGTCATAATCCAGCGCATGGTAAAAAATTCATTGATCAACCCTAACCAACTTAGAAAACTCAGGATCATGCAATTAGAACAACCTTTTTGTCATAATAAATCTGTTGGCATAACACATAAAACAGAAAATTGCTACCCTATTTGGAGGTTTGGCATGAATGAGGAGGATTTGTGGAGGAGGGTAGTTGAAGAGAAGGGTGGCTAGGTTGTGAAAGTCGTGTGAGCATTTCCTATGGGATTGGCTTTTCGAAAATGTCATGAATTGCTGGGAGAAATTCTATAGACACATCTTTGTGATGCGTATGGTCAATTGATTCACTTTTGGGAGGATATTTGGGTTGTAGAAACTAATCAAATTGGCAAGCCAAAGAAGCTATGGCAGAGAGGGAGTATGTGACTGTTTCAGCCAATAGGTTTGTTTTGCATCCAAATTTAGTACCACCCTCCAGTTGGGAGGCAGGGGCAGTAAGTCTCTCGCTTGAAGTGCTTTAAGGTAGCACAAACTCTATCAGGTGGAAAGGGAGCCAGAACAGAAAGTTTATAGTGAAATTTTATAATTGCTGTGTTATGAAGCTGCCTGGGAATTTTGTTAGAAAGAAAATTAGCACATGGAAGCCCTCTTGAAAGTGGCATCTCTATTGGATGACAGCTTGAGAGGCCATCTTGACCATTGATAACCTTGTTTTCTCTTCTTCTGCGGTGTAATGTATATTATGCCAAAGTTACTACATGATTGTTATGGTAGAAAGGGGAGTTATCAAGCATGGGAGACAGGCACATCATGCATTATGAGAAATATATGGAGAGATAGGAACTAGAAATGGTTAAGCTTTCCATCCAGAAAGTGAAGGTCTTGATGTAAAGTTATTTGCTCTTGGCTTAAAGCAGGGCTCTGATTTCTATACATTCTTTTGTGAAGTTATGGGGGAAGTGATAACGTTTTTGGTTTTTCCTTTGTTTGGCTGAAATTCAGGCAAATTTAGAAGCCTGATAGCCCAAGCTCAATCCAAGGTATTTTACCTTCAAATGCAACCCCAACCCAAGCCAAGTTGCTCAACTCAAGCTCAATGTGCTTGTCTATGAACTCGGCTGGTTATTGCATTAAAAAAAATTAGATTGAAATTTGGTTGGTCTCGTGCTGAGTTCAGGTTAATTGTTTAACCACCATAAAAATTAAAATAATAATAATAATAATAATAGTAATAATTCCCAGCATAAAAAATAGAAAATAAAAAAAATGATTAACTAAATATTTCGCTGAGTAGAAAAAATTACACTGTTCCTAGTAGTTTATATATATATATATACACACACACACAAATACATACAAAGTCCGGATAGAATTTGAGTGATGCTTGGATTACCCAATTAATATTTAGTTTGGGTTGCCCAACACCTCAATCTGAGTTCAACTTGAGAATAATTAAACCCAAATCCAACCCAAGTTGTAAAAAAACACTGCTGAAGAGACTGAAATATTGGGTCCGGTTCAAGTTGGCTAGCCAAAGTTGCACCCCTACTTCCCCTGTAATTGGCTCTAGTAAATGTACTGCACCCTCGTTTTTGGTGCTCTTCAATGACATTTCAATTATGGGGAAACAAAAAAAAAAAAAAAACGCATGCACCATACAATTGGCAATCTTATAATTTTACAATCCAAAAGTACCAAATGGATCACTTATCCAAAAAAAAAAAAAAATAGGAAGAAGAAAGTACCAAATGGATCCAAATCCCACAAGTCCAAGAGGATAAAATCCTGGTGAAATCCCAAATAAGATTGTTTGTGTTGGATCCAAAATTGAGCTACAGTGGGGGAGGAGGATGTGCTAATGGATAAAAAAAGGATGAGTTTCTTCCCACATTTCTTCACATATGGAATTCAAGCAAATGCAGTTAAGTTTGAATAGTGAAAATTTTGGAATCGGTTCATAGAAAGTGAGATAATTCCATATAAGATAGCTTGGTAGTATGCCAATAGAAGTTGGAAAGCAATGACCATATTTGTAAGGTTGCTTGGGAGCTTGGGTGCCATTTTTCTTTTCATTCTTAGTGGCATTTACTGGATGTTGCTTAATTCAAATTTTTAGCTACATTATTGGAGAGTGGTAATAGATAACAAAGATGAGGGAATTCTTCCTACAAAAATTTTAGTATATCTGTTTCTTGTTCTCTAACTTTCTTTTTCCTAGTAATTGGTTTATATACATATACTCCCCAAATCTGAATATTGGGTTTATGTTTAGCTTAAAATTTGTAACTTTTACCAGGGAAAAAAAAATGTAACTATATTCTATATATAGTGTTTCACAATAAAGAATTAATAAAACCCAAAATCAGTACTAAAACCCTAGAAATAAAATAAAGTACAAAACAAATCCAAATTCAAAAAGCAAAATTAGTAAAGCCGAGAGAAAAAGAAGAAAACAATACAGTAAGAATCAAATACCTGAGTCTCCAACAACAAGCACTCGGACCTGCCCGCAAGGTGGTCCACCGTTCTGCTCTTTGCTCTCCCTCTCACGTTCCCTCCAAAACATCTTTTCCTCCAAACCCTAATTAGAATTCACCGCCTAAACTCCTATCACATCCACATGAGATGAATATAGTTCCACCAAACACGCTAAATCTCCAAGAAAAGCAATTAAAACTCGATAAATATCTTCCCGATTTAACCCCAAAATCCATATCAGACAAAAGCAAAATCAAGATTTGAGCTGAGATTCAAAAACCCAACGCGAAACATCCTGAAAAAAACCAACACAATCCTCTGTAATGCTCGATCCACGGCTCGCCAATACAAATGGTTGATGCAAATGCTTGTGGATCCACAAGAAATCTTCAAGTGGATCTGTGCAATCCAAATCACACCATAAAAATTGGAATATTCAAATTTGAGAACTGGGTCTCTCTACAATTTTCTTGAAGGTTTACAGCATCAAAGTAGCAAATATCTCTTAATTGAACGTGTATGTGTATATATATATACGTGTGTGTGTGTGTCAATATGTAGTGTAGAGATCTATAGAGTGAGTGATCTTCAGAACAACAAACTATATGGGTGTGCAAATTGTTTGGGACGATTAATGACTTTTGGGTTGGGAGGGTATTTTGAAGAATGTGAAGGGACGAGATCTGACAATCGTAACGTGTTTTTCACGCGCTATCAAGAGTGTGAAGACAGCAGTCCACTGTTTTTGTCACTTATCCCCTTAGAGAACAAGTACTTAATACTGATAAATGATTTTCTACTTGTAAAAGGCTTGTTTAATTAAAACTTATGTTCAAGTCATATCAAAACCTAGATTTGTCTTTGGATTTACACAGCTTGGGATCAAAGGAATTGGAGGGAAGATGAAGGGACTGATAAATGATTTTGTACTTGTAAAAGGCTTGTTTAATTAAAACTTATGTTCAAATCATACAAATCAAAACCTAGATTTGTCTTTGGATTTACATAGCTTGGGATCGAAGGAATTGGAGGAAAGATGAAGGGAAATAAATTTGGATAATTCGAGAGAAAATGAAGGAAAAGAAAATTAAGAATAATTTATTTTGTTTGTCATGAATTTGAGTGTCTGAAAATATTGTGAAGAAGAAGGAGAAATAAACAAACATTTTAAATACCATTTTTGTTATGTTTCACAAAGTAAAAGGCATAGAAGAAAAATATATAAGAGTTGATAATTACCATCGTGTTCTTGTTTCTAAAATATGTTAATTCTTCTTTTTATTCTTATTACTTGTATAATAAAATAATTATTTTCTTTCTTTCACATATATATATATATATATATATATATATATATATTTACAAGGGTATCTTTCTTTTCTTTTCTTTTCTATGTTATCCTCTTAATTCATTATCTTCTTTCATGTCCTCTTGACTCATTATCTTCTTTCATAATTAATTTTATCTTATTCTTTCTTTTCCCTCCAAATTCTAAAAGAAATATTATCATAATGAGGGAAACAAAAAAAAAAAAAAAAAAAAAAAAAAAAGAAGAAGAAGAAGAAGGAGAAGAAGAAGAAGAAGAAAAAGAAAGGAAGATAACTTAATTATGTTACTTTGAGAGCATCCGTTGGCTTGAATTTAGATTTAGAGATAATTTAATTTAAAATTCCAAATCGGAAGTGCTAATTCGATACTCTTAAATACAATATTAATGATATTTAAATTAGAAATGAGAATGATCAAGAAATGATCATTGAACTCCTAAACTGTTAATGAAACAAGCTTCCCTTGTTCTCTTGATTATGTTGGTACTTGGTATATAGCTGCTGCCTGCTGGTAATGATATATATGTATATATAGAAATATATAGTGATTAATTACCTCAAGAAATATATCAGTTATTTGACAATTAGACCTTCAAAAGGGTATAATCACATACTCTAGCAACAAATAACTAGAAAAATATACTTACCAGTTACCACACAAAACAACCACCACCAAAAACAAAAAAACATAACTTTCATAATGAACTAGGCTAGGGATTTTGGAAATAAATCAGCTCTGATCCTCAGCTACAGACCTGGCCGGGCCAGCCCGTACAGATGCAATAATATTGGTGAAAAGGACTCTGCCTAAAAAATACAACACAAGTCACCATTTTCAATCTGATCATACTACAATAACATCAATGATGATGATGATGATGATGATGATATACATATGTGTGTGTGTGTGCGTGTGTATGTGTGTGTGACTTAAGGAGAGGAGTGTGCTGAAGAAGCAACAGCATGCAATGTCCAGGCATGAGGTGCCATGAGAGGCATCTGATTGCAATAGACCACACAACTCGGGCTCTCATGGTTGTGTACTCCATCATATGTTGTTATCACATATCTTGAATCAACACTGTCCCTTTCTACCCTCTTCTTCACACTGCATCCTCCACTTGAACATTTAAAGTAATTCCTGTTTAAATTTGGTATAGTTATGAATCAGCATCAATAAACACCGCGTTCATCAATACATAAAACATAAAAATTAAAGTTCAAATTACTTGAACTCTCAACCTCCCCATTAAAGAGGAGAGATCATACCATCAGGTTAGAGGCCTGGTGATATATAATTTCTAGTTGCGATTGTTAAGCACAAAACTTATTAACTCTTATATATACATCGATGGTTGTTGATGACATGGTGTTATTGGATAGTTCTAAAGAGGCACTAGAGTTAAAAGGATTAAAAATTAGTCGAACTAAAACGGAATACATGAAATGTAAATTTAGTATATAACAATAAAAATTCCAGTCCACAACTCAAAGTAATTATTTTTTGTACTTAGATACAATTGTACAGTATGAGGAGAGAGTAACATTGATTTGCATAGAAGGTAAGAGACAGAGCTCAATCATTAGGAATGAAGTGATATGTAAGGAAAAAAAAAAAAACAAAAATTTAATAAATCCAGTAGGAAATATGACTGTGATATAAAATAGTGGAAAAAGAAAATCTATGCCACAGACTCTGTTATACGAGATAAAGGTAAAGAGATAAAGACAAAGATGATGATGATAATAATATATATATCAATCGTGTGCTTGTATTCTTCATTTGATGACAATCATGCTCAAATTGGGAAAAAAACGAGCCTAAGGTTTATCATAAACTTAAATTAATAGAAGTAGAACCAAGTGTACTTTTGAAATTTATATAAAAAAATAAAAAAAATTTGGAAGTTTAAGTAAACAGACATTTATTACCCACAATATGTCTCTACTTAGCTCTATCCCTTTTAAAGAAGAGAGTTCAGGTCATTGGACTAGAGCCCCTTTAGATTTCTCTCTAGTGTCTAAGAATTCATTCAAAATTCGTTAAGCTGAAACTAAATAGCATTTGGATCACATGAAGTTAGCTAGCAGAGAACTAGCACTATGGTCTTTTTTTTTTTTTTTAGGTAGAAAACATTCTTACCATCAATCTGAGAGGATTAATCTATGATTTCGAAGGGCAAAGTAAATAATAATAATAATGATAATGATACTGATAATAATAATATCTCATTTGCTTTGAACAGTTGTCGTGTGTGTGAGTGTGAGAGGGGGAGAGAGTGATTGAGAGAACATGCGTGACACCTGCACCTACTACTAAAAAAGAGGAGTAAAATGGGAGTGTTTAATGCGAGAGCCAACATTAAAAAGCGATATGGTTTTTGTCTGGCAAGTTGAATGTTGATAATGGCCTGTGCTCATCCCGGGACCAAGAAAGATTGTAGTGGCGTGCGCACATACAAACAAACCCACAGATGGATAAAAATGCGCATATTTATATATATATGTGTGTGTGTGTGTGGATAAACATGCGCATATTTATATATAGGGGAGATCCAATATAAGAGAGGAATGAACAAAAAAAATTTCTTTATGCTATATGTGTGTGCGCGCAAGAATGAAATGAAGCATGAATAGAATCAGTCGGGAATAGAATAATTGTTCAATCTCATTTGAATTTCATTTCTATTATTTGGTTACAAACAATAAAACAATATAAAAATCGGATAATTTAATTTTATAATTTGGTTAGACTAATTTAAAACGATGTGACGGAAAAATATTTATAGCCAATTAATGTAAAACATAATATTGTAATCTCTCTCTCTATATATATATATTACTTAAAGATTGTTAAAACCCTGGATAGAGCAAATGCATGTATAATCAGACAGTACGTGGCAAACAAAAGTGATCGATTATCATAGGGTCTACATCTAATTAAGCATAAATAGGACACCTGAGTTGAGATCTAAATCCAACAAAAACCCTCTCTAGTATCCAATAAAATATATAAACCTCTCCATCTATAACTGATCTAATATGCATATAAATTAATACATATATTCCACAAAATATTGGCATATATACCTTGGATTTGGATTGTTTTTAACCATCTTCTTCCCGTACTTCCTCCATTTGTATCCATCATCCATGACCTCTACCTCTGATTTCGTTCTAATAGCAACCCTAGACTCTGTGTACACCTTGTTCTTCTTCACCCTACAAAAACATAACACAAAAACCAATTATATAAATATAATTATGTACTCCTACTTAATTATGCCATCAATGATTAATGTAATTTTTTTTTTAACCATATTAATATCAATAAAGTAAAAAATCAAGTGGGCATGGTCACATGCATGTTACTATTTCTTGAAGTTGCACCAGTGAATTCGATGGATTCGCCTGTGCTAACATTATCGGAGTAGAAATTATTTTGTAACCACAGCTCCTCCTCGGACACGTCTTGGAGCATCAGATAATTATCGGAGAGCTCGAACTCGGGCGCATCGATGTTGTGATCACTGAAATTATATTTAGGGTTTTGATCCATTGACAGGGAGTTGGAGGTGAGTAAGAGAGAGAGAGAGAGAGAGAGAGAGAGTGTGTGTGTGTGTGTGTTGACATGAACTGTTAGGGGCTAGACGCCCATTTAAGGTTGGTATTGATTTTTTGTTATTGAGTTGCTGCACCTTCGTAGACGCTTTCCAGGAGGATACAATGAACGTGCTTTGGCATTGCCACGTGTCGGGTTCTGGTTGCAGAAGCTTATGTCATGGTGGTGACGTGGGATATTTCCTTTATGGGGTATTATCTAGATGGGATTGGAACCCACTAACAATAACATGATATGCATATCCACGTGTCTATTGTTGTTATTGTTAAATGCAGCCGGAGAAAAAACAGTATTATAAGCTATCATACAGAATTTTATATATGTTTAATATAGAACAAATATAGAGCCAAAAAAAACTATAAAACAGGACATGAGAAGGAACGAAGAGAGGAATTAGTTTTCTATTATTTTTTCTCTTTTTTTGGTGTATTCTTTCAACACGATTAATGTATATTTATATATAGATTTTCATACAGATTTTCATTCCCACTTTACTATTCATTTTCTTCATTTCTTATTCACTTCCCATTCTGACATCTATAAGCCCATATAATTGGTGCAAAGTAATTAATCATATATGGACCCCACATAATTGATTTTCACAACACTCCCCCTTAGGTTCTATCATATTACACTAAGAATTTGCCTAGTTAAAAACTTGTTAGGAAAAATTCAGTGGGAAAAAACCATAACGAAGGAAAAAGAGTACAATATTCTTGTGTGTCTGTGATACCCCTCGATTCTAGAGCCACGGATGATCAAGTCTGAGCACATATCCGAGGGATACCAAACAATTAAGTGTATAAATAAGCATGATTACAAAAGAAATAAAGAATAAATAATTAAGCTGAAAAGAATCTAAATAATAATTCTTGAAATACTAATTAAATAATCCAATAATACCAAAACCTCCAATATTGTTACAACTAGAAAATTCATCTAGTGGACCCCTAATAATATCCTAAGTGGAAAAGTAAATAACTGAACTGCAGAAAATTCAAAACTAAAACATAAATAAAAGTCCTATATAGTCAGAAGAGTGAGTGACTGTCTCTGCTCAGTACGAATAAGCTCTAAGCCTGAAACTGTCGAACACCTGAAAAATAATAGTGAATTAGGCCCATGAATAACTTCTATTCTACTACAATCCAAACATAGACTCGATACGCAGATACATCATAGACAACTCAACAATAACTATCTAGTCCATAAATATATAAATACACTCTAAGGGACTCTCACTGGACTACAAGGCGGTCTCAACCTGATTAGTAGACAACATGCAAAACGCACCTGAGAGCCGTCTCTGCTCCATTGCTTCGTCTTCACTTCGTCTGGTTGCCGTCTGTGCTTTCGGCAAACTCTAGTGTTCTATCCCAAACCTTGCAGCATTCTTAGAGTTCTATTTATGTTCCTAAATTCCTAGAAACCCTTCATAAACCTTTGTGATTTAATTGACCCAAAACTTACAGCATAACAAAACAGTTTATACAAGAACTAAAGTTTCAGTTAACAAAACAAACGAACAATTTATGGTCAGATAACATGCATCAATATTCCATTTTAAAGTTTAATTTACATCCAAACCATCCCAGAAACTCCTCACATTCCTTTGTGAATTAATTTACAAGAGTTTAATACATAATCCAAACAGTTTATACAAAGAAAGCAAACTTCAAATATTTATACGTTAATCAGTTTACAGTTCGGCAAATATGCATCAAACATCAGTTTTAAAAATTGAATTAATTCATGGAGACTATATAGAATGCACAGAACACAAGTTTACAGGAAGGAGATAAAATGAAACTTGCCTTTAGGTTTCGGTTTGAAACCTTACAGCGTCGTCTCCAAATTCTGGCAACTGTCGACTGCCGGCCAACCTCCTACCGCTCTGTTTCAACCCCACAAGCCATCATTTCATTCCTCCTTGGTCCGACCTTCAGTCCATAGCTGAAAGCCTAGTTGGTATTTAGGTTCCTTCTAAGAATATATATATAGCCGTCCCAATCTTAAGTCTACCCGTAACCTTATATCTACCAGTTTTAATTAAACCTAATATAAGTCGGCGACCTAATTAGACACAACAATAAAAACCCTACGACACAAATAAATTCTGTAAGCTACCAAATATAATCTACCAAATATACACTACAAAAACACGTTAATTAAAACATCAATAATCAAATATTTAAACCAACTATATATTAAATTAAAACAATTTAAATTAAATAATTAAATTAAAATAAATGCACCATTAATCAATTAAGAAGTCAAAACACATAAGTCACATAATTAATTAACCAAAACAACTAAGCCATATAATTAAATTAATTAATTAATAAAAAAAATTAAATTCCCAATTTTATCCTTTTGAAAATTAGGGGTATTACATTCTTCCTCCCTAACAAAAAGAATTCCGTCCTCGGAATTCACGAAACTCTGAATTTATGTCTTTTCAAAATTCATTTCCGTTTTCGTGTGGCACGGCTTTTTTTTATAGGAGTTCTACCAAATTCCAACACATCCAACCTTATACACGATTTCTATGTATCAGAAAAAGCATTAATGTACAACGCCTAGGTTGTATCCATCAACGATCCAATCTTACCCAATATTTAGCGAAGGGTAACGAGCTCTATTCCTCCAAGTTCCGTAGAACATAAGCATACAATTCCTATGCATCCAGCGCGAGCTAATTGGTAACGCTAAGCCACAGACGACTGCCTAAGTCTATAAGCCAAAATCCATGAAAAATCAGTGCAATACGTAACATTGATCTTACTCCAAAACCCATTGCTTCCTATAAGTCTTCTCAAATAACCATTACCTGATAGAAAACTCCTATATACGAGCTCAACTGTCTCCAAAATCCGACTGCTGCCTCCATACCGTGCGCAATCTTTACTAAAAGAGAGTATTTATCCCCCGATGTATTCTTAAATAAAGACAGGGTATTATTATATAATCTCACTTCTATGCTAGACCAACCAGTGAGAGATCTGTACAACATATTATCCAAAATTTCAAACATTGTCGCACTAACTTCCTTGTGCCAACAATAGCACAGATAATAACTGAAAAGCTAAGTAACGTTTTCAATTACCCATGCCTACCTAGGATATATATCCTAAGCATATTCGTCATGATCCAATATTATATTGCGATCAAATCTCCTATCTAGAGATGCAAAGCATAGTTGTTGCTCCCACACCTTCGAAAACTCCGTTGACATAGCAGTGTTTAGCTCCCTAAGAGATAACCGCATACCAGAATTTCGTTATCAGTGCAATGTAGAACTGACACGACACATCAAAACAAATCCGACTAACAATGATGTCCACAATCGAACTTGCTTGATCCACGACTCTTAATTCATATGGAAATTAAAGTCCAACCAATATCAGTACTTTCTATTAACCATCCATCTCCTGATTAGTCCTACTTCCCTGTTGATATAGGAAGCGGTTAAAACTTCCAATGATATCCAAGCCTCAATTTTCCACCTTGTTAGTAGGTGATACACTTGGAGACAGTGATACCCATGTTTCTATTCATACCGGCTCACCAAGATGATCCTGGTCAGTCGTGCTGTAACTCCTATCCATTTGACTGCACTGTAAAATTTATAACTTTTACTTCTCAGTCACTCCGACCTTCCTAGAATCGAAAAGACAACTACCAATCCTCCTTCAGTACCCTAAACTCATCTAAGTAAGATACGACCTCCTGTGGGGTCAACCCAAATATTCCAAGTTGACCGCCTCCATTTCCCTGGTAATAGCAAGTGTTATTATTTCCACGTGCTAAAATGCAACGGATTGCACAATAACCACCGCAGGTGTAATCACCACATCGGTTGATAAGATCATCCTCCTCCCCATTACTTCCATCCGACGAAACTTAATGCAAAGTATGAATCACCACATCTATCCATCTAAGCCGTCTCGTGATCCGTGCTATTCGTAGGAACTAATATCTTACTAGTTTCAAAATAGACAAAGTGAAACTGATTTAATTTTATCAATCAAACAATATCACAACCAGAATCCTGACCCTCGTGTAAAATCAGCAATCTCTCATCTAGATCCGTGGAAACTACTCTGTCAGTCCCACTCCATTATAAGAATTGGCTGCAAGGATCCAATGATCTTTGACAGTCCATCCAGATTATCTACTAGATAGCAGACTTTGAGACAAATTCACTATATCCCTTCTCCTGCCTGCCCTCCAAACATCTGTTTCCCTCTGTAAAGCATTATGTTTCCTCCAAATGCAATAAAGAACTACGAGTGGTGAACTTCGGTCCTTACATCCTCCTTCCAATATGTCTAACGAATGTATTGTTAGTTTAATAACACCAATTTCCATAATTAGATGTTCGGTCTCATCTTCAAGTCTTTGACATCCTACATTTCTAACACAAGTAAGTGTCAATTAGATTTCCTGTCGAACTTCTAAAAGAATACAGAAACAATCCATCCTCCAAATAATCAACAATTCCCAGCAACAACTATTTGTTACGAACTGGGACCATAAAAAAAATTCCATATTATTTGTGCAAATGAAGAGACTTGTTTTATCCTCGATATGCACCTCCAGCAATTCCTCCTAATGACACCCCCTCATGAAAAAAAAAAATCTTAATTAAGGATAAACTAATGAATAGTTAATCCGTATACTATCCTCAGTCGGTGACGTTCCATTAAGTACTTAAACCAGTACAAAATCCTCCTACTGACTTGGGAACACCTGTTTAAAATTTCCTAGAAGATATTCAGCCAAGCCAGTTCCTACGATAAACCAGCATGACGGTACAGCTTATCAAATGAATCTATATCATTTGACTCAAACTACTAGTTTACTTATCCCATCCTGAACACATACTATAACCACGCATGTCTAGGTTCATTAGATTGGCTAAAGTTAGATATAGTTACTAAATCGTATGATCACATGCCTAAAATCCTAACGTAATTAACGTTATTCCTCCAAAACGGTAGTTAACTGATCACTCACTTGTGTCCCCAACTAAACCATATTCCCAATCCTGAATACTTGACGAAAAAGAAACACATCAAGCACACACAATAAAACACAATAGAACCCTACGTAAAATATCGTTCCTCCTAGCACAGAAAATCTCTTTTAGAAATCAATTTTACCTGATTGGTTCACAATCTCCTTTCTACAGTTTCGGAGGTAATCATCCAACCTCGAAACATAGCGCAAAATAAACTCCATTTGCCTCAGCAATATGCCAAAGGCTTAACCTTCATCCTCCTTATACACGGAATGCAAACCATCTAATGTAGCTGTATAAAGAAACTTAGATCGTCAAAACCTAATCCCCATACTCCCCGGAACGTGCTATATAATCTTTGCTTCGTTCTGAGAAGAACTCCATCCGATTCCTGAACCCCTAAAGAGTTCTTTTTATCTACCTCATTTAAAGGTAATACACAAGGTTAACTATCTACCTCAACCCTACGAGTATCGTTCACTATACTATTAGCGAACAAGATCACTTTCGCGTGATCCTTGATTTTCAACATTCAACAACCTCTTTCTTGGATATGTTGAAATCTCCTCCACTAGAATTATCTTTGGACTCCTATTCCTCGGTTGTCTCTTTTACAAGAACAACTGAAATTGTGTTGGTCCCGTTATGCGGTGACCTAAAACGCACTCCTATATCCCTCATTGGCTTATACTTCAAAAAGTAGCACCAACCGGAACTAAACCTTCAATCCCAAGTTTTGCTTCTGATAGAGAACACGATAACGTACTCCTCTACTCCTTTGGTTTGATTCGTTGTCGCCGCGGACCCCATCCTCCTTCTAGTATCAACCATTCCATATTTATGGAATATAATTGATATCAGCTGCTCCTCCTAACGAACCGTAAAAGAGTACAACGAATCCTAATATGGCTCTAAGTTTTTAAGAGACACAACGCGGAAGACTTCTAACGAAAGACACTTCTAAGGACACTAGAACCTGGAGTGCTCTGATACCAACTGTGATACCCCTCGATTCTAGAGCCACGGGTGATCAAGTCCGAGCACAGATCCGAGGGATACCAAACAATCAATATGTAAACAAGCAAGAATAAAAACTGAATTAAGAATAAAATAATAATGCGCTGAATGAAAACTAAAATAAAAATCCTCAAACTTTAAATAATAAATTAATATTATTTAAATCCTTCAAATCCGTACAACTCGGAAATTCATCCAGTGGACCCCTAATAATTCTAACTGATAAATAAATTTACAGAATAAATATCCAACCCTAAAATAAGAAAATAAATCCTATGTAGTCGGAAGAGTGAGTGACTGTTTCTGCATCACCACGATCAAGCCCTAAGCCTGGTACTCACGAACACCTGAAAAATAAAGGTGGGTCAGGCTCATATGCAAGTTCCATCCTACTACAATTTGTACATAAACCCGATACGCAGATATATCCTAGATAGCTCGGCAATATCTAAAATAGTCTATATATATATATATATATACACACACTATAGGATGCTCACTAGCCTATAACATAGTTCAGCCTAGGTAGAAAGTGACATAAAAACACGCTTTTCAGCGGCCAAATACCTAGACCTACCAGGGAACATCAGCTATATCTAGCTACCCAACCTTTGCAATATACGCACTCTAACCGTGATCAGGAAACTCAAGCTCGTATCACGGTACCATAAATATATATATATATAAATTCCTTCCTAATGCAAAAAGATAAAACAAACATCCGTTATGTCGTTCAACTGTTTTAGTTGACAGGACATGTATCCATGTAGGAGTTAACTATTTTAGTTAATCCATTCCGTATGTATGAAGGGGTAGGACTTAACTTTTTGATCTAATCTATCCCCGATATGTCACCGTCCCATACCGGTACATATAATGCAAATGATCCACAAATGATGCACATTCATTAGAATATCAAATATATCCAGAAACCAGCATAATAGAAATCAGTTATTATTAAGATCCTATCATGCATCCAGTACATGATCATGATCATAACCTTTCTTTAAATTGTTAAAGTAATGATACACAATTTAAATTATCCAATTCCATACAATTGATCGAACATAAATTTTAACAGTTCATTAATTAACATCCATAGCACAATATAATGACAAATAGAGTTATAACTGTGCACATTATACTAGACTGCCAAAAATACTTCCATACTAGTCCAGTTCGTTTGCTAAAACAAAACTAGTAATCACAACCTGCACCATCCTTGACGGCATGCCAAGTAACGCTTAAATTATATGACGTCCCTTTAAACCTCACTATAGATTATCTGTCTAATATAACAACACTCAAAAATCTACACGGAATACATCTTATGAAACCCCAAAAGGATTCCCATACAAGTCCATTTAGTTCTCTAAAATAAAGCTAGCAACTAAAACTCCTACAACTCCTGTCGGCATGCAACCTATCAGTTAGAATTACATGACGACCCTAACCACAGCATAACCAACCTTCTTAGAGCTGAAACATGTCATTTATATCATTGGTATAAAATCCTAACATTTACCTTTATAGCAGTTCATTTAATTTACTAGCCAACCAACAATGTCCATTCCCCTGACCTGAATCAATACATCCTAGGTCTTAAACATGCTCTGTACATCATTTAAGAACCCCCATGAAACTCCAAAATTACCCTTTTGCCCCTGAAGTATCGAAAAATTACCAGAAATACCCCTAGAGGGGTTTCTGTTCAAAGGAGCCGGCTCCCCCCCATGGGAGCCGACTCTTCATCTTCCAGAGCCGGCTCTTCCTCATGGAGAGCCAGTTCTACCTTCTTGGGAGCCGGCTCCCTCACTTAAGGAGCCGGCTCTCTTCCCCTGAGAGCCGTCTCTGCTCCATTGTTTCGTCTCTGCTTCGTCCGGTTGCCGTCTGTGCTTCCGGCGAAGTCCAGTGTTCTATCCCAAACCTTGTAGCATTCTTAGAGTTCTATTTATGTTCCTAAATTCCTAGAAACCCTTCATAAACCTTTGTGATTTAATTGACCCAAAACTTACAGCATAACAAAACAGTTTATACAAGAACTATAGTTTCAGTTAACAAAACAAACGAACAATTTATGGTCAGATAACATGCATCAATATTCCATTTTAAAGTTTAATTTACATCCAAACCATCCCAGAAACTCCTCACATTCCTTTGTGAATTAATTTACAAGAGTTTAATACATAATCCAAACAATTTATACAAGGAAAGCAAACTTCAGGTATTTATACGTTAATTAGTTTACAGTCCGGCAAACATGCATCAAACATCAGTTTTAAAAATTGAATTAATTCCTGGAGACTATATAGAATGCACAGAACACAAGTTTACAGGAAGGAGATAGAATGAAACTTGCCTTTAGGTTTCGGTTTGAAACCTTACAGCATCGTCTCCAAATTCTGGCAACTGTCGACTGCCGGCCAACCTCCTACCGCTCTGTTTCAACCCCACAAGCCACCCTTTTATTCCTCCTTGGTCCGACCTTCAGTCCATAGCTGAAAGCCTAGTTGGTATTTAGGTTCCTTTTGTATTCTCCCTTCCAACCCTCTCAGTTTTTGCCTCTCAATACACTATTACGTGAATAGGGTTTTTTTCCAACCCTAACAGACTTATAAGAATATATATATAGCCGTCCCAATCTTAAGTCTGCCCGTAACCTTATATCTACCAGTTTTAATTAAACTTAATATAAGTCGGCGACCTAATTAGACACAACAATAAAAACCCTACGACACAAATAAATTCTGTAAGCTACCAAATATAATCTACCAAATATACACTATAAAAACACGTCAATTAAAACATCAATAATCAAATATTTAAACCAACTATATATTAAATTAAAACAATTTCAATTAA